TTGCGAGAGATATGTTGTTAAACACTCTTAACAGCAGCAATAGGTAACAAGTTAACCATTGACGGACACAGATAGACACAGAGATCCCGATAGACAGGATTATCGTTTTTAGGAGGCCCACTAAATATAATAGCTTCCAAATAGGCTTCTTTGAATCAGTGTGCAATTTCATGTTAATTACTTCTCTATTTTCCGACCACAATCGGCTCCGACACCGGCCGATGGGTATGACATGAAAATCGGTCATCGGATCAGCCATACTATGAAGTATCGTAGATGACAGTAGCATTCGTCAGTTCTCATGAGATGTAGACTTACCATGCTTCGCAAATAGCACCTGATACGAACTTCATATGAACATCGTAAGAATCTCATCTGTAGTAATCTGTATACCATCTTTCAAAGGTTTTCCCCAACCCCAATCAACCCCAATCCCAACCTCAACCTCAACCTCCCATAACCAGGGGGAAGAAAAATAAAGGAATGAAATTCACATCTTCGAAAAGCGAGATCCAGTGATCTCCACAACTCAACTCCGAGGAGATGAAGCTTCAAATTTGCTGAAGCGATTCTGTGTTGAGAGAGGAAGAAGTATGCCAAATTTCGTTCCTGTTGATGCTCTCAGAGAGGAATACGAGACGGTTGAATTTTGTGGCGGGAAGGGGTTGAAGAAACGTAATCGTAAGAATCTCATATATTTACGAGGTTTTCATAGATAAGGCCCCTGGACAAAAAATTAGAAAATGGATGGGAGTCGAGCTGGAATTGAAGCGCAGGAAACTCCTTGGGTGCATATCGTAAGGGGCACATATAGCATCCCTCGGAAAGACTTATTCATCATTTTTTCATTGTTGACAAATATTTGAGAAAAAGAAATTGACTATAGGCATCACCTTGCTTTGGCAGAGTGAATTTGGATTTAAAGTTTCACGTGTTGGGGACATTATAAGCCCATCAATAACGTAAGTTTTCATGAAAATTGCACCAATGAGGAGAACAATGTGGGGGTCTATTTTTTCCCACACTGCATAAGCATTTTATGTAAATCCGCATCGCCATTATGAGAATAAGGGAAGAAACGCTCTTGTTTTACACTGTGTCGAGACAGGTAGACAAGGAGGCCCGCGTTCTTTAGAGCAAGATCTCCCACAGTGATTACAGCAGGACTGGAGAATCTTGAGATGATGGAGTTTGCAATGATCTCGAAAACCATGCGGCGGGCCTCTCCCCCCTGTATTCATGAAATCATCGGCTCGTTCACAGCTTTTACACTTTTCTTTCTCCTTTGGGTAGTAATTTCTGCATTGACAGAAGAGAAATACTGTACCCTTCCTTGGGAATGAGCTCATTTCCCTTACCCCTTTACTTAGCGCAATTGAGCAACCGTGCTTAATTATTTACGTGTTCTCGTTCCCGAGTGCTACTGTTGCATTATATCGGAGCGAGTGAGAAAGAGAGAGGAAGAGAGCAGTTTCAAGGCCTCATTTCCTCTGTCAACTCCTTTTTCCCCCGGTGAATCCCCCATTAAGTCTCGAAGCCATAATAAAATTACGAATTGTACACGATTTGGAAATTTGATGTTGTGACCGGTGATATGAATCAATAATAAAAAAGTGGACGATCGTGCAATAGGAAACTTCTCCCCTGGGCCAATCTAATCAACTATTCGTTTTTCGATTAATTTTTCGAATCTCGTCAATCATTCGATTTCGTCCCATAATGATGAGAGTGGAACGAAGAACATTCTCCGTGTCTTACGTTTTTGCATGTGAGACTGTGGTTTAAAGTGTGCATCGTATTTTAATTCAGGCCTCACCCGCAAAAATGCTTGGAAAGTTCCTTCCATGACGGTTCATTCCTTTCGCAACTGTGAAAGTACTGTGAAAGTGGCTGACAACTTTCGTCTCTCGTCACGCAAATGAGGCACTCATGAATTTCCTCAATTCTGGAGTGTGTCTATTATGGTGTTCATCAGCCTGAATTGCTCTCATCATCCGACACACTTAGGCTTAGTAGAAGAATTATCGAACTGATCTCGATTCACTAAAGTTCAGGAAGCAGAGATCAATTTTAGCGTTCGGGCAACAATTTAAGCCTAATTCCATTATTTTCATATGCAGCATTGAGAAAATAATGTTGATACAACAGAAAAGTTTTAAAAAAACCACAAATAAGGCAGTTAAGTATAAGTAAGAGGTACGTAGTAAATATATGAATTTTACCAATATATAATCGATAATCATGATAAAGGTTAATAACATATCAGTATGTTTTTATATCATTATATTTGTTTTTTTTTATATTTATTTTAAAATAGAGTAGTCTGGCCTTGTTGAATGTATGACTGTTTGATGCTGAATCTCGACCCTGTCAGCCAATATAAAACTGTGATGGGATGAAATTTCCAATTTGGTAGCGCGCTTCTCGATTTTTCAAGTAGTATTACTCAACCTGTGTTGCACCTACATGTACATGATTTCCATCGATATTACCTTTATTTACTCTAATGTGGCAGTGAAAAGTTTCTGGTATCAGTGCATAAGGAAGGAATTAAGTCCGAGTGCAAATCGCTTCTCATGAAAATGATGGTTCAGCGCGCTTTTGAGCATGATAGCACGAAACCGCACGATTCCCACTCTGTTTTTTACTGAAGGGTTTTGGCCTGTTGGTTCTATTTTTCTTCGGTTGTGCGTAACGCAGAACGGAATGACCTACGTATTTCACATTTCAATCCGAACAGATTACGGAATTTTATACTTGCTGCCGTTTGGACGGACGTGGAATCAATGCCGGAGATTACTTTTCTCTGGATCGTTCGACTTTTGCCACGGTATGCTGGAAATCCATATGCACGCACCTGGCCCTGTCGACGAAGATTCCATCGAAATGACGACACTCTTTAATTCTGCAGGCGATCGCCACGGTGGTGACGTACTTGGTGGTTCTCCTGGAAGTTTCCTACAACGAGGCAAAAGCTGTCGACTCCATTCTGGTCGGGAATGGAACGAGCCCCGGATAGAACTCCTTGTCCCTCCTCAGTTTCTTCGAAAGGGCCTCACCTCCCTAAAATCCGATAGTGTCTTTATGCTTTTAAATTTCATCTTCATAGGGATGGCTACATGGAACTATGCCTAATACATATACAAAAATGAACTTTTCATTAATTTTTTATTTTGCTTAGGAGAAAAAAATGAATCGCAATCCCACAAATACTTTGATTCCGTTGCATCACGTAATGCATAGCCCTTTCTTTTTGGACTGCTCTCAGAGTAAGACGATGCATGGATTTCTCCTGAGACTTAATCAGATAACTTGAGGAATACATCAGGGCTTTCAAAAAGTTTGAGTCCTTCTAACTGCTACTGTCACTTCTTGCTTCCCAGTCGCTCACAATATATCATTACATCAGCATTAAGAAGTAGTATAGAATACGTTCTCAGCAGTGGCACAGAGGTTATCCATTGAGATAATTTATTGATCCAGGCCCACTGACCGGCTACATTTTCTAGCTATCAAAGTTTTCTTAAATAAAACGTGGTCCGTTGCCACCTGCTTCATGGACAACTATGCTCTTAACCCTTAAACTACCAAGCCTCGAAGTTTCTCGTATTATAACATAGGCTCTGGGTAAAATTTGACCCAGCTTGGTCATTTAAGGGTTAAACTTGCCCACCATCCATAGCCATTCTGCATAATATTTACCTGCCATTTCTCATTTCAACAGCGGAAAAGAAACCCAGGATTAGTTTCGTTGGAAATAAGCATTGAAATGAAACCAACCTGAGAATGCTACTCTTCTGGCTTAGACTGCACGAGGGGCATAATGAAAGGTCCAGCAATTGCAATTCACCCGCTTCTGGATTTTCACATCCTTGCCGACCATTCATTGCGTTCTTAACCCTTTCAATACCCGTTTTTTTCAGGTTCATTTTATATAAAACATTAATACATTAATCCAATATTCAGGTCAACCTCTAATTTCAAGATTTTTCTTTACTGACAATATCAGCTGTAATATGCAGGTAACTGTTTGCCATGGTTACAAATGGGTTGACAACAGCGGCGTATTTTGGCTGAAGAGTCAAGGGGAGGGGGGGGGGGCACCCGAGCGATATCAAGGGAGAAAAATATTACCTTCAAGGGGCACTAAGCTCTGTGCCAGGGAAGCCAGGGGGGGAGGGGAGCGGCCGCCTCCTCACCCCCTCCGTAAAATACGCCACTGGTTGACAATGTCAGAGTGAACCCCTGCTCCAGGAAAAATGCCCCATGAATGAAGTTATGGGCGAAATGTGCGTAACTGTGCGTATCAGGACTGTTTTCAGTCCTGATACAGAAAGAAAATGAACAGCGTCTTGGGGGTTTTTCATAATTCATTATCATGTCAGATCTTCGACCATGAACCCTCATTAATCTTCGATGAGAGTCTCAAGCTTTCAGAATGACAGTAGCATGAGCATGCTTCAGGCTGAGTGTCCTGGCTGGGCGTCCAGGCTGAGTATTCAGGCTGAGTGTCCAATCCTATAGCATTGGAACATTTGTACATGGGTTGCAGGACGTGCTTCACCCTCAAGGCCCTCATAATATAAAAGGTCCATATAAAATCTGAGTCCCAAGGCTCTTTTGGCTAAAAGCCAACCTCGGCGATAGAGGGCTCCTACGCACTAACCAGGCAAGTAACAAGGTTATTTTCAATAAAAATAGATTTGGAAGATTGTGAAACTTCGCAGTTGCGATATGCTTAAATGGCAGTGTTCGTCCTGGTTACGCTATATGCCCTGGCATATCTACGCTGATGAGATTTTTTGAATGAACCAGCTCAAGTTTCTGACATAATTGAGTTTATTTGAGTTGGACAAGACTCTTCATAATTCATGTTCCCCAACGTTCTTTACAATTTCGTCTCGCTATCGTATCGTGTTTCTCCACGTGACCTCATCCTGTCCGTGGACTAGCATCGTGGCCTGGGTAAGGTCAATCTGCGGGACAAGTAGGAGTCTAGATCAGCCCTTAACATTTCTCAGATTCATTTTCGTTCCTTGGTCGGATGCTGCTAGACCCTTTTGAGAACGACGAGCTTCTTCCTGTTGCGCCTCATGCACACTTGGACTTGAGGCCTCGCTCGTCACGAGGGTCTCACGAAGCTTGGCTAGGAACGGGTCCTGAGGTTTGAAGCGCTCAGACAAGTTTTTCTCATCTTCCTTCCCTTCTCCAGATGCCATGCTGAATCGCTTTAGAGAGGACAGAGGTGAGGGAGAGCGAAACGCAGATGGCAGGAATCCCTTGATCTTTTTCGAGAGAGCGCGCAATTTCTGTCCCAGGGTCGTATTTGTCTCCATCACCCGGTAGAAAAACTCTCTCACCTGTAACATTTTTTATTTTCTAGGACAAATGTTCGTAAATGTGAACCAATCCTGAATGAAAGACGAACGCAGCCATAGGAAATTGGTAAGGCTGGGCTCGAAAAATTGGTCCACGAATCAAAGTAAAGTTGGGGTTTTACCATGGATATCCCGGAAGAAATGCTGCTGGTCGTCAACGGAAGATATATACAATTTGCTGCTGATGCTGAGACGGTATTATGCCAGAAAGAGGCTGTAGAAGAATTCCTCTTAAACTTCTTCATAATTGTCATCCCTCTGATGATGATCCTCCGAGCTATTGCTGACATTCATAACCCAGTCATACTGGAATAACTCATCCCTCGACATGAAACATTTCCATTTCTTCGACTAACAAGTACGCGCATTAAGAACTTATTATTGCGTTTCGAAATGTAGTAATTGCGAAAATATTTAAGGGAGCCGTAAATTCTTCCCATTTTTCCCCATTTCCTGCACGATATGCTCTGCAAAATTTCTAGATCTTGCTCTGTCTGACAAAGGGGTTTTCTCCCAGAATTACTGTAAAAATCCTTATATGTAAAATCTGTAATGTGTTCCTTATGGAATATCCTCCTTAAGGTTGGTCCTACTTTTCTCTTTCAGCTAATCTAGCATAATGTCGATCAACAATGACATTTTCATTTCATCTGAGAGTCTTTTTCGGTGCAGTTTGCCCACGGAAACGTGATTCATTTTGTTTTACTATTGCGCAGTGGACCTGGCGATGCGATATTTAAACATTCCGCTACATTACGGGAAATGCTCAATTTGAGCCGGAGTTTCCCGGTTAGGCTCCTGCATCTCGACGTTTGCATGTTAGTATTTTACACTTGCTTGTTTCAAATTATATTACATGAGACTGACGGTTCTCTTTGTATGAGCCAAAAAATGGGAGATATTAGTCAATTATTGCATAAATAAAATCCCCAGAGTCTTGCCCCTCGGATTCCCCCCCCCCCTCGTTTATGTAGAACATAATACTTTCATCTCCTTGAAATTAACCACTGCTTACTGGAATGCACCGAATGCATCACTTGGTATTCGCTTTGTTATCTTGGGTTCCAGCATTAAGGGAAAGGCTGAATTCTTTTTGGGACGTGAATGAGGCTTATCAGACTTGTGGAATGAAATAACGAAATATTCGTGGGGAGGAAACAAGTCGTTTCGAGCGACTAAAAGGACAAATTATTCATAGCTCTTTCCTGGGTTCTTGTAGTCTCTCTTAGCCGCTAACGGAATTTCGGGTAAGAGGACTAAAAATCTATTAGCAGCTTAAAGGGAGAACAAAACCCCACTATTTGTCTTTCAGGGACATTAGCCCTGATTTTCTCTAATAGGCGCAGTATTTGGAATGGCTTGAATGACGCTTTAACGATGAAGGAGGACAGGGAATTCCAGTCTAAATCGCAGCTTTATCTTTCTTCTTCGCGCTGACAGCGAAGTATACTGAAGCATGACAACGACATACAGAATGTCCCAGGCAACACATCCACGAGGAAACGACATTAAAACAATGTTTCGTGTCCAGATTTTGAATGTTGAAACATTGAAATACCACATCGATTCAATATGAAAATATCATTTTCTTCCACATTCAATCAACATTCTTCGACGAATCTCTGGTTATTGAGTTCCTCCATGGAGCAAGGTAGAGGTAAATTCAACGTTATGTAATCGCATGACCCTTGGATAATGAACTATACATACTAAGGAGGGTAAATCTTCAGTTCCTATAGGTTAGTACCCTGAGGGTGGAGTCCTGGAAAGTTTGAGAGGATGTGTCTATTTAGTTTTGCAAACGGCGTCGGAATAAAAAGTGCTTGTATGGGTTTCAGAATGTTACATTTACTCTACTTCCCATTTTTATCATTCGTGAATGGATCACTCCAGATTATTGCTACGTGTGCTCTACATATCTTTAATCCAATAGGCTTCTCTATGCCCATACAGAAGACTATGGGATTTGGACATTTAATTTGTTTCAAAAGCAGATGCTGCAATGAGAACATCATAATTCAAATTTCTCTAATATATTTCTCCATTAATTGCATTATAAAAAGAGGAAGGGGGGAAGAAAATGCCTAATGCTGAATGACAGATCCATAATTGCACTACAGGGGAACAAGGATACCATCTAGTGAGGGCTCTTGGTACTTCATTATGATCGCGCGTATGCTACACTACCCTGATAGCATTGAAACAACATTGATTCAATGCTCATCTTCAGTCCTCAACATTTGTACTCTCGATCCACATCCAATCATTGTTTTTAAATGTTATAATTATCCAGTAAGTGGTTTTAAATATCCAATGTTGCTTGCTATATACGAACAGTCTATAGGATACAGAAACATTGTTTCAACGTTAAGTCAGCATCGTTTATTAAAGGATGCAAGACCACTCGAGGGCGACAGTATGATAATTGTAATTGTAAATGGTCAATATATTTATTTCCAAACTAAAAAAAGTAAATATTCAATGCATAACAATAGACGTTATGCAACGCAAAAATTGAGGAGTCAATATTTTCAACATTGAGCCCATGTTGTGGTAGGTTAATAGCACTCCGAAAATCTATGGGAGAGGTCCAACTTTCCATCATTATAAGAGAGGTTAACAATGGTGCCACATCAAAAAAATGTAACGTGAATATTCCCAAATTGGAATCCACAATATGATGTGACGACATTCTATCAACATTTAAACAAAGGTCACCTTCAACCTTCAATATTCTCACACTCAATCCTCATCCAATCAATGTTGATTTAGTGTTATGTGTTACCTGGGGTATAGCTATACAACACATAAAAATCAGTCTATACCAATGCAACCCGTGTATGTGTTATAAGTGATTCAGTAAGGGCTCATCGCGCGCATTACCCACAAATTCTCCCGGATTCGTTAGAGAAGCTTCTTTCGGCGATTGTGAAAATACCTTGCTATTAAACCGTCTCTCCTCTTCATATAAATAAAAGGAGAGTGTTTCGCACCTGATGAGATCCCCAAATCCCCCCTTAAAGTATCTTTACGAACATGCGATACGAGTGCAGGCCAAGATTCATATGTGTGATTAAAGGAATCACCAAGAATTGAGATCCTGAGAAGGAAGGTAAAGCCTCCTGCATGGATTATCAAGAGGAAGGCATGCTGAAGTATTTCCTACTGCAGCGGTTCTCATCCTATGTGCCGCGAGAAGCTGGCAAGGGTGCCATGGGTGCTGGCTGAATTTTCTTTATGGCTTTGTCAAACAAAGTAGTGCGAGAAGGCTAGAGGTCTACTGTGCTACTTAACTGGTGTATTCGAGAAGCCTACGGAGCAGACAAGAAACCTTTTCCGAAGAACCGCATCTAAAGTGCGACACTTCTGACGTCAGCCTCCCCTTTTAATGAAAGTGTACGTGGTGTAACAAGTATACGTATTATAAGTCAATTATCTTAAAAATTGGTTCATATTGCGTACTCTTGGTATACACTTTTATAAGAGAGTATCTCTCAAGAAGGAATGTCAATATCAATATTTTTGCTGCAATAAAGATACATATTGCTTTTTGCTACCAGATATGTATGTCTACCATCTCGCATCCTGGATATTATGAAAAAAAAGTTAGTTTCCTGTCTAAGAAAACCATTGAGCTGCGTGAGATCACTTCAAGTTTTGAGCTGTATCTTCGTTTTCTGGGCAAACAAAGGCAGGCGCTGGTATTGTTGTTGGAATGAAAAAAAAGCATTCAAGAGTTTGAATGCATTTTTTGAAATGATAGTTTTGCCAGATTACAATTCAAAACAAACCTGTCGTGAATGAATTCAGAGGTCCTGATTGGGCTTATGGTATCGTGCCTGGAGATTCGCGGATGCGCAGGGGTGCCGCTGACATCGCGCTATTTGGAAAGGGTGCCGTTGCGAAGTGAAAGTTGAGAACCGCTGTCCTAGAGAGAAACACTGGGCGGCATGCCAACCAACTCTCGGCAGAATTCAACAGTGGCGGCTCGTGATATGCAGCAGTGGTAGTTTGGTGGAGACAGGGGGGCCGGCCTCCTCTGTCTCTACTGACGAACCAATACTGCTGCATATCATGAGCCACCATTGAATTCAACATTAGTGTGGAAGTAACGACATTTAGTGCGGGACTCCTCAAAAGAGTTAAAAGTCATGCTGCATTTGAGTCATGTGAAAACGTTGCACCGATGCCGAAAGCCGCATGTGAAGTTTAGTGAATGTTGTGACAGCGTTTCCCCGTTTTCAGCTTTCATTCAAGGTTAATCATCAACATCAGCTGCGACCTTTCAGATGGAACTTCATCTGGGAAACAGCGTGAAGTCACAAGTCGCGAGGATCCGGTGAATAGGGAGGATGTGGAAGCAATATCACCCCACGATTGGTTAGATTTCTATGGTTCTCAGCTTCGTTGGCGCTCAGCGTCGTCTCAGCAGGCGCTCTCCAATCAGCTGCGATCAACACGTTGAAGGTGGATACCAAGAATGACTCACAGCCAGTGTTCCATGCTCTTTACACACGTGGGGAGAAGTATATCGCAAGCTGAGGGAGTTATTTCGAAGGGGAGCATACTGAAACCTACCTAGTTTTCACGTACAAGGACCAGTCCTGGAACTTTTTGGTGGGTCCTCGTATGCAAGAGAGAGGCTTGAAGTGAGACAGAAAGGGAGCAAGGGAAGGACGGACTCGCATTAGCGTGTTCATATCCTCGTGGTCGGCACGACGGAGATCATCCAGAGTTGTAGCAGACATTCCTTTCACAGCTTCCTTCATCGCAGCATTCAGCTCCTCTTCGACACGAGAATCTGGTCGATGAGTGCGGTTTTTAATCATCCTCCTTGATCGATGGCCTTCATTTAGAGGAAAAATTGACTTCAACGTCTCCATATACGTCATCTTTGGAACTTGCATCGGTCTCTTAGAAGTCGGCTCCTCCAGTCCTATACGAATAGTAACAGGTTCAACCACTCTCGTGCACCCATCCGACGGTACTTGTGCTGTCAGATTAGCTTTATGCTAAGCATTCATATATCAAGATGATTTGCGCAAGGACTTGGCACATTTATTAGGATGTCACATGAGCACAGATACCATATGTAGTAATGTGAAAACCGTTTTTCAATGGCAACCTCAATCCCAACCTCATCCCCCTTCCCCCGCCCCTTTTCTCTACGGAACTCACTAACGTTAAGCCTAACCGACGGACTGTCTTCGGGTCAGGTCTATGCCTACAGTTTTTTCCGTTCAAAAGAAACTGAATCCTCGACTTACGGAGCTTAAGTATGCCAATAAGGATTA